CATTAAAAAAATGTTTCAAATTTGGAATGTCTCAATCTCGGTTGAAAACATTTGTTTGACTTAATAGTAGTTGTAAGTTGTTTTGAGTTGGAAATGTTTCCAATATGATTGAGATGACCCATTTCAGATGCAAAACAATTCTCTCTAGTTTGAAACAATTATTTCAAACTCAAAAGGAGTGTGAATTGTTAACAGTTTAAATTTGAAACATTTTTTTAATGCTATTACCCTGTTTTCCCCAAAATAAGACCCAACTGGAAAATAAGTCCTAGCATGATTTTTCAGGATGCTCGTAATATAAGCCCTACCCCCAAAATAAGCTCCAGTTAAGATCGTCAACCAGATGGATGCATTCAGTACCATATTTCCCCCAAAACAAGATTTAAACAGAAAATAAACCATCTTTTGAAGCAAAAATTAATATAAGACCCAGTCTTATTTTCAGGGAAAACATGGTACTTCCCAGACTTTTTCAGGATGCTGTATAGCTTTAGCTTGAAAATTCTGATCAAAACTCCAAATCTGAGCCTTTGTTGTAAGATTTTTTTAGAAGTATCTTTACAGATTTAGCCAATTTTATTTATACGATATAGACGTATTTCATTCTTCATTAAATTAAATAAGTCAGAAAGAAAAATGCAGCCTAGCAGTAGTCACTTATTTTGCTTTTTAAAGTCTAGTTGAAGCCTTGATAATGTTCTGTTGACTTAAGGTTTCCTTAGTTTGGATTTTGCCAAAGAGGGATGTTAATTCTTCCACCCAACTTTAACATATTTCACATTATTTTTAGAGGCCTTTCATATTGAAAAAGAAAAGGGGTCGTAAACGCCGAAAGATTAATAGCAGTGTTACAACGGAGACCATTTCTGAAACCACCGAAGTTTTAAATGAGCCTTTTAACAACTCCGAAGAAGAGCAGCCCATGGCACAACTGGAGCCGAATTGTGAGACGGATGGAGAACATGACCAAGTGAAGACTGGGGGGCCAACCATGTTGCAACACGGGGAAGAGGAAGAACAAGAGGAAGAGGAGCAGAAGAAAGACAATCAATGTAACCCGAAAGAGAGTCCATGCAGAGGTGAGTCTCAAAGGTTTGAGAATAGCAGGGGTGGGCTGCTGGGAGTTTGCATGGATTCGGGCGATCCTCTAGCTAGGGTTCTTCCCGCTTCGGCGAACCCCCAAATGCCACCCTGGGCTGGCTTTGCCCACCCTGCCCCTCCCACCGTGTCCCTCCCAGGAGTCTCCACGCGGCCTGTTCATCATGCAAGGTAAGCTCATGGAGGCTCAGGGAGGGCAAAAAACGGGCCTCCTGGAGGTTCTGGAAGTCCAGAAATGGGCCTGTTTCCGGCCTTCAGAGGGCCTCCAGAGTCCTGGGGAATCAGTTTTCACCCTCCCGGAGGCTCAAAAAAAACCTCCGGAGCCTGGGGAGGGCAAAGAATGACCGCCCCTACTGTGATGCTGGAGGCTGACTAGGCCACACCCACTGTGGTCACGCCCACCCAGCAACAGGGCAGCGAACCCGTTACTGGAATTTTTGAAGCCCACCCCTGTTTGAGATAGATGGAAAGCAGTTTTCAACATGTGGAACTGAATATAAATTGCATTAAACTTAGCTGGACACTTTGCAGAGGCTTCTTGGATGGAAGTGAGTGCCTTAAATTACCGTTCGTGAGTTGCTGATACCTTGATATGAAAGGTCAGGGCTTGCGGTAAAAATAGCTATGTTTCTAACATCATCATATAAATGAAATGCAAATTTTGAATAATTTTTGCTGCTGCTTTTTGTCTTTGTGTAAAGTTGGAGAGGGTATTCCCCTCCCCCATTTCTTTCTTTCTTTCTGTTTGTTAAAGTTTAAATTTTAATCAGATCACTCCACTTTTTGTTGTCCCATAGCAGAGTTTTAATACTTTTATTTCTTTTACTGACAATTTT